TGTGGATGGTCTAACTCTCATGGACCAACTAAAGTTGTTTCGTGAGCATGAAGGTAGTTTTGGTAGAAAACTTGCTTTTGCTTCTCGCAATACTACTCGTCCAGGTAATTTTTTTCAAAATTTTATTAATAGTGAATTATAGTAAAAATATTATAATATTATTTTGTTATTTTCCATTAGATGAATGGTGGAAATTACATGGTGGAGATGCTCCGGAATTGCAAAAATTTGCAATTCGAATTTTAAGCCAAACTGCTTCTTCTTCCCGGTGTGAGAGGAATTGAAGTGTCTTTGAGAGAATCCACACTAAAAGAAGGAATCGGTTGGAGCATCAAAGGCTTAATGACCTCGTTTATGTTCATTATAATTTGCGTCTACAAAATAGGTAACTTATTCTATCAAACTTTTTTTTCACTTTCTTTATTTATGTGTAAAAGTATATTAATATTTTTTTTCTAGGCTCAAGGATTACAAAAAGCCTTATGATCCGATCGATTATGAAAGTATTGATAAAATCGAGTTTTGGGTGGTCGATGAAATACCGGAAGGTGAACTAAGTTATAATGAATTGGAAAATATGGTTGAAGAAGAACCACCAAACTACAATGAATCAACAATGTTTGGATCCCAAGCTTCTCAAGGTTAGTATTTTATGTTATTCTATCAATATTTTGTTATTCTTCTATTTGAGTCTAAGTTTTGCTAAAATACTTTGTATTTGATATTGAAGATGATGAAGAAGATGATGAAGTTGCGTTAGAAGAAATTGACATGGATTCTTTTAGATGAAAATTAAATTGTGATTGAAGTTCGGATTTTGATACATTTCATGGTATTTTGATGTTTGTGTTGTGAACTTTGTTTTTTTTTTTGAAGACTAGAATCAAGATGTGGAGAATTATTTTCATGGTATTTTGTATGTTTGGTACTTTTATTTAATTTTGAAAACTTATGTTTGTTGGTATTTTTGGTTTAAAGTTTATTTTTGTATTTTTTTGGAATATTTTAAAATTTTAAATACAAAAATGATGTAATCATGATGTCATCCGGTTTTTTGGACCGGTCCGACCGGTTGAACCGGTTGACCCATCGACCCGGTATGGCGGCCGGTTCGATGTCCGGTCCGGATTTCAAACATCGGTCATGTGTGTCATCATCGAACATGTGAATAAACCCTTTTGTGATTTTAGGGGATAATAGTTGATCGAAGAAAACCCACATCTAGGAAAAGATTGAAAGCGTATAGGAAAAAAAAGCCTATGAAGACCGGTGTTTTCATTTGTAATATATGAAATTCGAAGTCGGTTTGTCTTTTTTGTACCCCAAAAATTTTCTTTTGAAGTAAATGGTTTCGTCTTTTTCACAATCCGTGAATCAGCTTTGCAGTGGAAAATGGGTCAATCCAAGAAAAAAACTTACAATCCTTCTTTCCTTTATGATACGAACTGGTCATGACATTATAGTTAAACTGATCGGGTTTGGGTCAATGAATTTTCCATGATTAGATGATGACAATAAATAGATAAAAATGTGATTGTTTTTACCTGAACAATTTCATTTGCAGCCATCGCACTTCATACGGACATGGAAGCCTTCATCTTTCATGTTTTTTAAACTGGGTAAAAAAATCAAACCATCTACCTTTTCCCTTATAAAGACTAATAGATATCAATGACGATCAATCAAAACAGGCACGCTGATTTAAAAATGACTATTGTAACATACAAAATGAAGAAGGTTTTTATTTTACCATCAAAGTGTTTCTTACCCGATACCCACTACATGCATGTGGCAGAGTATCTCCTTAAAGTTTCATCCTCCCACCTTTCCCAAAAGAATCAACAATAACACATTGTATTTGTATGTTAGGAGTTACCCTTTCAGAGTAATGACAGAAGTTGCATATGAAAGTTAAGTGCAAACATAACATACACAAGGAACAAAGTCGTGTTGTTTCAGGTGGTAAAAAGACTACCAAATACTAAAATCTGAAACCACCATGCTAGATTTCCCATTCAATAACATATTTGTGGACTTGAAATTACAAAATATCACCTTCCAAAAGTAAAAACTGACAAAAAAATGTTAATTATCATTCATCAAAATCTTTCAGTCAAAAAGATTACCCATCTTAAAATAAGCTCTGAATATATATATATATATATATATATATATATATATATATATATATATATATATATATATATATAT